AAAATACTTTTTAAAAGTGTAAGAATTAGGTATCAATTGAATGATTATTAAAATTGAATTGATAATTTAAATTTAATTCTTTTGGAATCAAATTAACTCATCAGCTTTGTTTAAATTCAAAGCTAAATCGATGTTTTTTTTAATCTAAAATATAATTAAACTAAAATTTAATTGAATATTTCAGCCTATATTATATTTTTCATAAACCCGTGCTTTTAAATACGGTATAACATTTTCCATTAAATGATTATTAAATTCATTTTTAATTAAATTATGTAATTATTATGGTTTGAATTCAAACTTAAATTTAAATATTTTGATATAAAAAAAAAGTATTTTAGTCTACAAATGTTTTTTTAACCATTTTTTTTAATATAGTATAAATATGATATATGAAAAAAAAAATAAATGGTTATAAGCGTCTGTTTAATAATTTTCAACTATTAGAAAGTCAACCATAAATCGTATAAATTAATAATTGTCACGTAAAATAAAAATATTTTTGTTTTATCAAAAGCCAATTAGTAATTAATATATTTTATTAAAACTATGTTTCTTAAATTACTATTTTTATAATTATAATTTTAAAAGTAATTGAAATTCCAATTAAACTTACATTCTTATATTTCAACTTATAATAATAATAATAACAATAATAAGCTTTTGCCCAAAATTTCATAAATCAAAGAGTAAAAAGAATCTGGTGGGACCCAAAGCCAACGTAGGCGGGCCCATTTAGTCCACGTAGGCCCAACGGCTCCTCACACGCAATTCACTTCTCCAAATTTATTTTTTACTTATTTATTTATTTATTTATTTTACTTATTTATTTATTTGTGTTAATCCGTGATATAACTTTGCCTTCAAATTTAAGCACAATATTGCTTCCTCCTCAACTTTGATTTTTCATTATTATAAAACTAAAATTCGGGTTTTTTTTTTCTTTTCCGATCAAATCGGTGACATGAAGATTTTCAGTTATCTGCTTTACCAACGGAGAGATACTGGCCATTTCCGACACGTTATCTTTATTTTCATAGCAAATTTGAACTGGTGACACGAAGATTTTCAGTCCTCTACTCTACCAACTGGGCGATACTGACCATTTCCGACACATTATCTTTATTTTCATAGCAAATTTGAACTGGTGTCACGAAGATTTTCAGTCATCTACTCTACCAACGGAGCGATACTGACCATTTCCGACACATTATCTTTATTTTCATAGCAAATTTGAACTGGTGTCACGAAGATTTTCAGTCATCTGCTCTACCAACGTAAATTTTAGACTAAATATCATTATTTACTCATGTAAACATTGTTATTTACTAACGTTAAACGTAATTTTGAACTTAATCAAATATCTCGAAACAATCTAAAAGTCTAAACACAAGAGCTCAAAAGAGATTTCGGCTCGATCGAACCCATTAGATCTAAATTAACCTTTTTAAATTAAAGAAATCCCTTTAAATCCTTCTCTTAAAGCGAATACCGAAAAATGTAGGTCGAATGTCCTACAAATACACCATTACGATTCAAATAAAATGAAGACCCCGAACTAAGTTCTTGTTCTTTAACCTTGCTACACTTTTCTTCAAATTCTTGAGACCGAAGAGGGACATCTCGAGCGCTGAGCCAATTTCATGTTTGAATAATACCAAAATTACCCATCAATTTTGGTGAAATCTACCCCTACAAACATTTATATAATTTATTTATAAAAAAAATAAAACTATATAAAGGGACAACATTATGTTTTTTATTTTTTTTTATTATTATTTTTACATATCATGATTGTCTTGTTTTTTTAACAAAGAATCTAAATTATTAGTGCATTTGGTAGAGTGTCTCCTAATTTTTAGGTAATTTAGTTGGAAATAATGAACCATAATTAATAAATTCCAAGGAAATAAAGTTTATTCATACAAATCATAATAATTATTATTTCAATATTTTTAGTAAATGGGTGGTTTTGAGTCATTTCACAATCACAACAATAATTATTTTTCCACTTTTCATAAAATAATTTATTTTTAAATGTTATTTATTTATGATTAAAAAAATATAAATTTATGTAGAGAAGGGAAAGTCTTTTCTTTTATATATATATATATATATATATTAATTAAAAAATATAAAACATCATAATAAATTCAATAATATTCCATACGCGGAAAAATATAATATAATGTTTAGCATAATTTATAAAAAATTAAAATTTAAATAAAATGAAGGTTAAGTTGAGGGCATGAGGTTAAGTAGGCTTCTCTAGTGGGATCAAACATGCCTATCACACGATTGTCATGTATACATAATACATATATGTAACATTTCATGGATGAAAGGAGAAAGGGAATGATGTTAATGTTATGCTATGAATGTAGAATCACAGAGACTTCGTGTATGTATGTACGTCATGTGCATCGGGATACTGTACGGACACGTATCTTTGATATTTATGTTCATCATGATATCATGTAAGCCTTTCCTTTTCTATGGCGTCCAGCGACATATAACCCGTTATGTCCTACCAAGTCAGGCTCAAAGGATACATATACGAGCCCATTTGGTAGGTCCATGTGTCCGTGGATAGTGTGTGGGGAAGCACAATACATCTAACCTTACCCGGAACTAGAAAGAGTCTAAGGTCGTGTTATGGTTTTAAAGGATAAATCTCAATCATGTTATGTGTGTGATTGTATTACTAACTTCAACAGTGAGATAACAGAAATACTCAAGCCACATGCTACTCTTGTAATTTTCAAGTAAAAGTAGCTTCTGCTCGAATGACGTTGAATGTCGTAAAGACAGGACAATATTATGCATTAAATTTCATTTAGTAGTTGATGGGTGGTTTAAAAACATTTTATAGTTTGCCATTAAAATTTAAAATAGGTATACGACCATGAACAACATGTCTTAGACAAACATGATCGAGACACTTGATATATAGTCATAGGTAACATGTCTTGGACAAATACGACCGTGACACCATGCATGCCCTCAACTCATTAACTTCATTACAGTTCACGAATGTTGTACGAGAATCGATGGTATTGTTTATCACTGTCCTCATTCTTTTGGAAATATCGCGGATTATATTAAAAATAAAAATAAAATTGAATATTATGCAAATCACTGATTTTAATTATTTTATAATTTAAAATTTTTAAGAGTTGTCTCATTAATTTTGGTGGATATATTATATTAAAAAAAAATACATATCAACATTTTTTAAAAGCAAATCCAGACAACGCGCCACCAGATCATGCCACGTCACCCTATGCTCCTCGTTATTTTATTTACTATTTTGCCCCTATTATGCCAATTAATATTATTAATACATTAAAAGAATAAATTTCAAGAAATTAATTTAATATATATTACCCTAAAAGATGCGAAAAAGTTCTGAAATGTCTGCAGTCTGATTCAATCACAATTTCCCACCCAAATAATAATAATGAAAAATAATTCATTAAAAATACCAATAATAATTATTAAATTAAAAAATAAACCCATTAAAAAATTTATATTTTTTACAAGTATATTAAATTTTATCTTATACTTTTTAGTTTTATTAAATTTTATATAATATAATATAATATATAATTTTAAAAAATAAATAATAATAGATTTGTTACCTTATAATTATATATTTTCATTTTGAGAAACTATTTTTTTTCCAGAAAATAAATTATGATTTATTTTTTTATAATCAATTACATACCTTATATTATTATTATTATTAAAGATATCAATAATACGACATTAAAAAACTACATTTGTAATATATTATATACTAATAAATCGATGATAATTTATACATTGAATATATTAATTATCCATCATACAAGGGAAGATTTTGTCATATGTGTAAATAATTTTTTTATGAGATCCTTTTGCAAATATGATTATTCATTTTTATTGATTTTACTTTTAAAATAAATACTATATTATAACTAGATACATGTATTAATTTATGACTTTAAAATTACTTTAAAATTTAGGATTGGAGTTCTTGAGGGTTCATTTTGAGCATAATCTCTTAAAAAAATACTATGTTATAATTCAGATACATGTATTAATTTTTACCTTAAAATTTAGGATTGAGTTCAGTTTGTTAGCTAAATACGACTCTCCACAATGGAGTGCTTGCTCTTCTGGCTTTGCTTTGTGCTTCTCTAAAATGACTTGTATCAATGAAGATAGTATTCCTTGATTATAAACCCATGATGAATTAGCTGAGTTTCATCCTCCAACCGTCTTTTTTTAACTTTTAAAAAATAGTTATTTTAAAGTTTTAATTTTTCAATATAATATCTATTAAAAAAATATTACAATTAGAGTAATATATATATATATATTTATATTAAATGGGCGGGCAGAAATTGGGCGAGAACGGGAATATAATCCCATTTTCGACCCCATTTATTTAACCGAAAGAAAATAATTGTCACTCCCATATAGAATCCCGTTCCAATAAGTCCTTGCAGTAAGATAAACATCTCTATAAATAAGTCTAATTAAATAGTAATAGAAATTGTTTTGGGTTGAGTGGGTTAGGATGGTTAATTCAAATTTTTGTTTTTAAAGAGAAAAATGTTAATGAGTAAAATATTTATTTATTCAATTCAAATATTAAATTAAAATTTTTAATATATATTTAAAAATTTTATTTTCAAATAATTTTAATAACCTTTAATATATATGATATAATTATATGTAATTGAAAAAAAAAGTATATTTTTAAATTAACAATAAATTAATTTATTTGATTGATAAGTTTTTGATAATAGAGCTGACACTAGGATTCAACTAATACAACCTTTCCAGGTCAAAATAATATTAGAAAATTAGATTTATACTTTTAATTAAAAAATACAAATTTAGAAAATAATTATTACTTAATAAAATATGATAGCTAAAATTCCATTCTCATTAAAGAAATAAAGAAAAGAAAAAAAGAAAAAAAGAAAAAGGAATTAGTCTGCTGTTTGTCAACTCAGACGCTCAAGCTATCCATTTGTCCAGAGCTCCCCTGCAATGGCGTCCGAAAGAAAGAAGGAGAAAATTGAGAAGTGGCTATGGCGACGAGCTTGATTGAACGTTGGCAACAGCGAAGAAGAAAACCAGAGTGCAGTGGCCATGGCAATGGCAGCCCAAGCTTTTCTTCCATAGAAAGCTCGCTTGCTGTGTGGGTGGTGGGCCAACCACAACTGTCATCTATTCCTTACACTTTCACCCAACACCATCACCATCTTTTCTCTCTCTCTTTCCCTTTCCCTTTCTCTCTCTCTTTCTCTCACCATTGTCAAATCTTTCCCCTATTCTGCTTCTTCCTTGCTTTCTTTTTCCTTCTTTTTCCTCCATGTCTTTAATGGCGGCCGATATGCGAATTCTATGCGGAAAGATAGAGAGTCGGTGATGGATAAGCATCTGGTCCTCTTTTTTACTGGTTGTCTAGAGAGATTACTACATTTTAAAAGTCTTCTAGTTGTTGCTGTTGGTTTTGTTCTTCGTGTGGTCGGTGGAATTGCTGAAAATTTTGGACATCGAGAGCGGGGGTGGGGTGTGGTGTGTTCGTTCTAAAGTGGAGTGTGATGTTTTGGACTTTCTGTGATGGATTTGGAGTGAATTTAGTTAAACTTCGATCGATTTCATTTCGATTTGGAGAGTTTAATCGCATTTCTGAAGTTTTTGTTAAGGTTTTTGAATCGGTTCGAGATAGTTGTGAAAGTGTACTGAATCAGAAGATACTAGAATTTGAGTTCTAATGCTTCTGATCAACCTCTGATAAGAAGAAATTGAGGAAAATATATTATGAAATCTTCGAGTTCATGAATTTTCATTTTGGAGATAATGTTCCCTCAGTTATCTTTTCTTCCAAGAAAACTACGAATCTCTCGATATTCTAAGATTTTGCTGAATTTCTGGGCACGTTACAACGCTTCGATCCGATTCCTTGCCATTTCAAGAAGCCGTGACTAAATTTTGCTGTGTCCGCCCGATTGGTCATCTAGATTCCATGCCTGTTTTTCGTCACACTGGATTTCTCAGGGTCAGCTCTCGAGGTTAGCTTGTCGGTGAATTTTCCGGCGAAACGAAAGCAAGAAATTCCGTTTGTAATCGTTTTCAAAGCTGTTTTCTTCTTCGTTCCTGTTATCAGAGTTCATGCAACCATATTAGAGAAGAAATATTTGGACGGAATCTTTGAAGAAAATGGGGAAGGATTCCAAAAGAATTATGGTTCGTTATGAGAAGGATCAGAGGGGCTGTATGTGGGGTTTGATTAGTTTATTTGATTTCCGCCATGGCCGCGCCTCCAGGAAGCTATTAGCAGACAAGAAGCGTCCTGGCAGGGAAACTGTTGGTAAGAATACTACTTTTCTTCTTCAGATTTTTCGTAGATCGAATGATTTTAGGCTTTGTTGACGTTGAATTTCAACTTTTGACCTGCAAATTTCTTGTTGATCAAATTTCCTTACCGATTGTTCTTTGGAGAATCATGATATCTTGAGTTTCAATTCTTTGGTAGTTTTAGCTTTCTTTTTCCCCTGTTTTTTTCCCTGCTGCCTAGAATCTTTGTGTATATGCGAAAAACTGCAATAAATTCATCCTTGAACTGGGTTGTTGCATGCTCCATGAACCTTCCATTTGAACTACTACATTTAGAGTTATGAAATTGTTGTGATTAAACACTATCATCATAATTTTGCTAGTGGTTGGGTTTAATTGCTAAGATTTCATTCGTTTGAAAGTATAATTGCAACAATCTTTATAATGTGTGGGTGATTTAGGGTTTAGGGTTTAATAGTTGTACAACTTACTTGTATAGTTCATGTGCATTTTTCAAATTGCAAGTAATGGAGTTATAACGATAGAGTTTAATTGTAATCATATGTTTTGGTTAATTGCTTAAATTGATGTGTAACAACCCAAGCCCACCGCTAGTAGATATTGTCCGCTTTGTCCCATTACGTATCGTCGTTAGCCTCACGGTTTTTAAAACGCGTCTTCTAGGGAGATGTTTCTACACCCTTATAAAGAATGCTTTGTTCCTCTCTCTAACCTAGGTGGGATCTTACAATCCACTCCCCTTCGTGGCCCAGCGTCCTTGCTGGCACACCGTCTAGTGTCTAGCTCTGATACCATTTGTAACAGCCCAAGCCCAACGCTAGCAAGTATTGTCCTATTTGGCGGTGGGCTTGGGCTGTTACAAATAATATCAAAAGTCAGTCATCGGATGGTGCGAGGTACTGGTCGGGGTAGGGCTAGACCCTCTTCAGAGTAGACGTGTTTTAAAAACCTTGAGGAGACAATACCTGCTAGCGGTGGGCTTGGGCTGTTACATGATGATTCGAAGCTCAAGAGTGATTTGTGCTTTCTCAATGTGCATGGTATTTTGTTGGAAATGCAGCGTCACTTGGTGCTGAATCTTCTCTTTCTTCAGCAGGTACTGGAAATTCAAGAAATAAGTTTGAGATTTTGGCTAATCTGGATGAAGATTGTAGTGTTACTTTGGTAAGTTTTCTCTATGTAGAACATTTTCTAGCAGAGTGAATGTTTGGTTTATGATCTAATGGATTGGATGTTGTGATTTTCTCAGAACAGTGAAGAATGTAAGACAGTAGACATTGGAAAGCCCAGTGTCAAGAAACTCATAGAAGAAGAGATGTTCAATGAGCAGGACGCAAAGAGAATCGAGCGTGAACACTCGGGCCACTTAAAGATGAATGACCCGAAAAAAGTGAAGAAGAGTCAGAAGAAAAGCCGTGATATCGATGCTGATTCGTTTAATGCTGCGGAGTATTTGAAGGAACAAAGTGTTAATAATCTTCCTGTTGATGTGATGCTAAAGGAGATCTACAGTCAAATCCATCGGAAGAACACGAGCGACCTGAAGTTTGACCCGAACGACAAAGCAGATATACAATCAAATGAGTTCCTTGCTGATTTAGAACAAAAAATGGTTGATGCACTTAAGGAATATTTTGGCCAGAAGTTCAATATTGGGAAAGATTTCACTAAAATTCAGAAAGTTCAACACTCAAGAGAGATCATGGATGCACTTCAGATTCCCCATTCTGATGACAAGCTAGTTCACGAACTCGCACAAAACCCGAACTCTGTGTTACTCAAGTACATTAGAAATTTGCACAATTTGTCGATAGAAAAAGACGTGGAACCCAAGTCACACGAGTTCAGTGAAGTTAGCCAGTCTGAGGAGATTGTTGATCATAAGCAACGTTTGTTTTTCAGGAGAAAGGTCAAGAATCCGGTAAGGAACGTATCCAAAGGGAACGAAAATTCTGATGCATCGAGTAAGATTGTAATCCTGAAGCCAGGGCCAAAAGGTTTGGTGAATTCTGAGGCTGACAACATTCATCCGTCAGTCCAAAATTCTACTGCTAACGATAAAACGAAAGTGCTGAATGAGAGGGTCGGTTCGAACTTTTTTCTTTCAGGAATCAAGAGGAAATTTAGATATGCTATGGGAAAAGATCACCATGAACACTCTGCTTATGGTTCAGATAGATTTTCTTGTGATCATCACAGTACAAAGGAGAGTGAAGAGGGTGTTCATAAGGAAGACAGTGCAAGAAATTCTACCAGCAAGGACCACTTTTTTATTGAAAGAATTTCCAGGCCTTCCACTGATAGCAAGAGAAGGGAGAAGGCTGGAAAACTCAAAAGCTTGGAAATTAATCATGATTTGGGAAATGTTTATAACGGTAGGAGATGCTCGTCTAATATTTATGTCGAGGCAAAGAAACATCTTTCCGAGATGCTTAGCAGTGGGGATGAAAGTGTAGACTTTTTAAGGGGACATGTGCCGAAGACCCTCGGACGGATTCTATCTCTTCCTGAGTATAGTTTTTCTCCCATTAGCAGTCCTAAAATGGACTGCAAGCTCAGTCCAGTAACTTCAGAGAAGAGAGTTTCTGCTGGTAGCCGACTTTTAAATGTTAATGAAATTACCCCGTCGCTCAAGGGCGAAAATGACGATACCCCAATCAGTGTGCAGCCTCCAACTGATGATAACCACGATATGAAGAGCGATATCGTTGATCAAAGTATAAGGGAAGAAGCTGTGAGTTCTAGTACTAATGGGAAGATTTCTGAAGGTATGTATCTCTGAATGGTCCAATGCATTGGATTGGCCAATCTTTTAGTGTTGTTTATCAATCCTTGATGTTCAATAATAAACGTGCAGGTGATATTGAGATTCTGAAGGTAAATGAAATTGCAGTCCATGAGGAGAGTAATGTTTTGGATGCTCCCTCTGGCTCAAGTGAATATTCTCTTTTGAGAGAAGATCGGAATGGTGAAATGGCCGACGATGCATGCGATGAGAGAACTGTTTCTTATGTTCCCTCCGACACGATTGCTTCTTCCCCTATCAGAGAAGGCCACGATAATGACACACGAGACATGGGCGACGATAAACCTTCAATGAGCTTGTCCCAAGTAATATATCTTCTAACTTTCGGGTTTATATCTCGTCATTTGTCTTACTATAAGTCCACATAACCGTAAGGTGAATTAGTTTATGATACATCTCATGCTGATGAAATTCCAAGGTGTAATGATAAGCCAGCTTCAGTGTTTACTGAAGCATTTTGCTTAAAACTGTTTATTCTCTTTAGGATTCGTCTGAAGAAAATCAACTGTCTCCATCTCGCTCGGCATCGTCTTCTAGCTCACCTACACAAGGAAAGGCTGTTGGAGATTTAGATGGTGTTTCCGATGTTCCAGAGCGGCCGAGCCCTGTTTCAGTTCTTGAGCCATTATTTGTAGATGATAACCTGAGCCCTCTGCATGCCATGGCTTTGCCTGGTAGGCACTAAGAACAGCGCGGAGTTTATCCGTGTTTTTCGTATTTCAGTTTTGTCTATTCCAGTAGTTACCCTGGCTAATATCAGTGTATTCTATCAGCAGGGTTGCGAGTCCAACCAATGCATATCGAATTTGAAGAACGTGAACCTGCAGAAACCGATAAGGCTAACGTCACGAAATCGTTAAAGGAAGATAAGGAAGTGGTTTTTGACTATGTAAAGGCAGTGCTGTTGGCATCTGGACTTAGCTGGAACCAAATCTGTGGAAAGTGGCTCTCTTCAGAACAGCTTCTTTACTTGTTACTACTCGATGAGATAGAGCTTTCCCCGAACCAGCTGTGCTCCAACCAGCAGCTCCTCTTTGACTGTATTAATGAAGTACTTGCCGACTTTTGTCAAAGCTATCCGCCATGGTTCTCGTTCGTACAACCTTGTCTACGGTCCGAATATCTGCTCGAGATTTGTGAAGGAGTATATTGGCATCTTCTTCCAATGCCACAGCCCCTTACATTGGACCACCTTGTCAGGAAGGACATGGGCAGAACCAGAACATGGATGAACCTTCATTCTGATGCTGAAACCATCGGTACCGAGACGTGTCAAGCCATATTCGAAGATTTATTGGATGATACCGTATTCAGCTGCGTGTTTGATAGTTCAGAATTCGACGACGGATTTGGCATGGAGACTGAAAACATGAGTGATGACTTGTAAAGAATTGCACATCTGGTAAAATAATCAACTTGGGAGGACCCCTTCCCCTTGATGAACTATAATATGACTGAGCTTTTGCTAACTTGTCTCCTCAGATCTGTGTAGATATGGTTAGCTCCATAACCATGGCTTTTCTGGCCTTCCGTGCTCGTTCTAGTCGTCGAACTACTAATGCCTTTGATGGAGAAGGTTTAAAAGTTTGGTCGTAGATGAAACACAGAGTTTGGTCCTTCATATCTGTCTTTTACAGCTGACATATATCATCTGCGGGATCGGGAACGAGATTCGTATAGTTATCGTATTGTAGGTGGCGCCATCCTTTGTAGATCTTGTAGAGTTTCGTGTGTTATATTAGTCGAGGAAGTCGATATCGTGTGGTTTGATTCATTGATTTTTCTCTTTTCTTTTCTGGTTTCGGTTGTGAGAATTGCTCCTTTTTTCTTACAAGTATGTAATAAAGTGCGTTCCCTTTTCATGCAGTCGAGATTTGAACGGTAACCAATAAGGATTCAAACATCTAACTAGTTCAGATATTTTCGATTTAATAAGATTTGGTCGGTTTTATTAGGATGTTTGAATTTGTTGGTTTGGTTAGTTCAAATTTTGCTATTTGTTTTTCACGTTCATCTAACCTCCGATAACCCACTTCTATTCTACAAAAGAAAAGAGCATAACTTTTCTGAGAAAAAAATTAAAATAAGTGGCGGGGGACGGTGTAATGTCCTACATTAGTTGGGGAGAAGAACAAACCACCATTTACAAGGGTGTGGAAATCTTCCCCTAGCAGACGCGTTTTAAAGTCTTGAAGAAGCTTGAAAGGGAAAGCCCAAAAAGGACAATATTTGCTAGATGTGGATCTAGACCGTTATAAATAGTATCAGAGCCTAACATCAGACGATGTGCCAGCCTTCTCGCTCTTCCTCGAAGGGGGTAGACACAAGACAGTGTGCCATTAAGGACGCTGGGCTCCAAAGGGGTGGATTTGGGGGCGGTTCCACATCGATTGGAGGAAGGAAAGAGTGACAGCGAGGATGTTGGGCCCCGAAGGGGGAAGGAGAACAAACCACCATTTATAAAGGCGTGGAAATCTTCCACTAGCAGACGCGTTTTAAAGCTTTGAGGGGAAGCCCGAAATGGAGAGCAGCCCAAAGAGGATAATATTTGCTTTCCCCTAGCAGACGCGTTTTAAAGCCTTGAGGGGAAGCTCGAAACGGAGAGCAGCTCAAAGAGGAAAGGGGAAGCCCGAAACGGAGAGCAACCCAAAGAGGATAATATCAGCTTTCCCCCTGGCATATGCATTTTAAAGCCTTGAGAGAAAGGAAAGTTTAAATAGGACAATATGGACATTTCAAAATATACCCGCTTGATGCTAATTTTGACTAAATTTAACCATATTTGTTAATTTGTTTGTGTATTAAACTTGGGGTTTTTTTAATGGTTAACCATATTTGTTAATTTGTTTGTGCATTAAACTTGGGGGTTTATTAATGGCTTTACCTTTTTTCTACTCCAAATTTGGAAGTTAGCTTACAAATTCATTATTACTCTTTTACTTTTTTACCCTTTTATGTCATTTTTTGTCTATATCTGCAACACATGCAAACTAGCTAAGGAAATTAGTTATCCTTAACAACCTTTCAAATTGTATTGGTGACTTACAATTATATTATCTAATAATTTACTTTTTTTAATTTATAATAAATTAATTTCCACCCTATTTTTTTTAATAAAAAATTAAGTGAAAATAACGACCAAACGATTCAATATTTGTAGTTTATAAACGTATCAGAGCCCTAATTAGTTTATCGATCTATGTAAATAAATAAATTATTATAAATTTTAAAGGACATAAAACTAAATTCGTACTTAATAAAATGCTTATATTTTGCTCGTATTTTTATTACGTAATTTGAGAATTTTGAATTAATAACGTTTAAACGCAATCGACTGACTTGGTATTGGACAACTTACATACCATTTATCGTGTTGTCGTATAGCTCTATGAGATATTAATGCATGCACTATTACTGTTACCTTGTACACGCTCGTTTTGTATTACTGTTACCTCGTACACGCTCGTTTGTATCACTGTTACCTCGTACATGCTCGTTTGTATCACTGTTACCTCGTACACTCGTTTTGTATTAAAGTCACGATTGCAAATCCAACAATAATTTTAGTTGGTTGCACTATATCCAAAAGTGATTTTATTTCTAATATTTTGCTCGTAAATTGAAAATTTCAAATTAATAACTTTTAAACGCATTTGACCAACTTGGTAATGGACAACTTACATACCTTTTATCGTGTTGTCGTATAGCTCTACGAGATATTAATGCATGCACTGTTACTGTTACCTCGTACACGCTCGTTTTGTATTAAAGTAACGATCAGATAACTCATCGTACACGCTCGTTTTTCCTACACTTGCTCATTGCATTGAATAATAAAATCTCAAAAGATTGCACAAAAATTTGGGATATTTGCAAAATAGCCCCAATGGGCATGCTTGAATGACTTTGAAAGTGGGCATTTTAGCAAGAAGATTTAGTAAAAGTGGATATAAACTAAATAAAAAAAAAAAAAATTATTTCTTATTAATTACGAGATCACCCCCATTCTTTCCATTATTCCAACACCGGGGTAGCCAGAGGCGTCGTCGTCGTCGTCACCAGCATTAAGCTGAAGAGTCAAAGCCTTCAAGGTCCGACACCCTTCTTCTTCCTTCACGAATTCCTCCATTTATCTGCTCTGGAAACTGCTCGCAAGTTTTGTTTTCCTTTTCCTTTTGGCGTCCATTAATGGCTTCAAAATCTCGTACAGTTGCGCTCTCCAAGTGAAATCCCAATATTGTATTTTTATTTTTTTTGTTCCATTATCTCCTTCTTTGTTTATATCTTCTGAATCGTGTAGAAAACCCTTGCTCCACTGCGTACTTGTACCTAATTAGTCACTCCCAGAAGAACCGGCTTGCTGCGTCGAATTCGGGATCAGGTTTTTCCCTAAACCCTAGTTTCCGTTGGGGCGTTTTTATTTCCAAATTGTGTTATTTGATTTGATGCGGTTGCGTACCTTGTGTGTATTTTATATGTTTTAGAATTTTAGTTCAGATCACGCATAATTGCCCTTGAAATTTAGGGTTTATAGTAGTTCGTTCTGAACTGTTAATGAGCTTAGTTTTGTTTCATGTATTTGAGCGTAGTCTTCTATATTAATCATTACGAGGGTTCTCCGAGCTGATTAGAGCTTTTTTGGGGTTCATATTTAGTATGGCTTTGCCAACAAACTTCCAAGTATAGGCATCACCTTGGCTCGTACTTTAAGAGATACGGTATTCCTCTCCGACTTTAATGTGTTATGCTGACCGTAGTTTACTCTATTCAGTCCTGGGGAATGTATGCTATATCAAGCATTGTTTCTCCACGCCTGTTTTAAATTTGAATAATCTTCAGGTCACATGACTTATTTGAGATTAAAATTTAAACTGCAATCTTATGGACTGCAAATTTAGATGGATGCGATGTTGGTTGTAAACTTTGACAAGACATGTTAAATGTAATTGAACTGAGTTTCGTTGTGATAGTCTTTGACAAGATATGTTAAATTCTGGAACTGGGTTTGTGGCATGTTGAAATGTACAATCATCAAGCAGAATTTGTGACTCGTGTTGTTTATTTCACACTGCCGCTGTATATTTCCACAATGTTTTATCACCACAAAACTTTTATTCCTAAGATTGTTTGCAATTTGTTTCTGATTCCTTGGATTCAACTTCATACAAAATGGACAAGATCTTGAATCTCTGAACGTGTATCTTCAGTTTATGTCTTTTAGTTATTGTTTGAAATTGACTAGCTTTTGAATTGCTTGGTTGGACTTGTATGGCTGAAGAATTTGCAACGGGATCTTACACCTGTTCTTCACCTGATAGAACTAAGTTACAAGCACGCAATTTGAATGTGGTCTGTTTGGCACAGCTTTATATAGCAGACCGATGCTGACGGAAGTATGCAGTTGATGGTTGGGAGATATGCAAAGGTATCATCCTGCCAGCTGCACTAGTGCAGTTAATAATAGTGCAATAGGTGGGCCATCAGCAAGGGATGCTATCCGAGCTGATTCCTCTTCATTGCCAACCAATTTTCCTTTAAATTCCAGGTAAAGAGATTTATAGATTCTGTGAAACTGGGGAGTTTTTTCTTTTTTTTTTTTTTGGCGGTAATGATTCCGTAGCCTTTTTTATACGTTCTTCCTGTAACGTTTCCTTTTTTGTTCTCTGTGCAGTTTAGTTACATTTTTTTAAGGCATGTGGTAGTTAAGAGTTTTTTACTTTATCAGTCTGCAACTTTGTTAACTGCTGTATTGTGGTCAGAGACATGTACATTTTATTCAGGGAAAACTGTAAACTCTCCATTTCAAGTTCAGCTATTAAGCTAATTACGATGCTGTCATGAATTTTTTTTCTAATTTTGTCAGATGTACCTTTAAGGCTGTAAGTCTCTGTAGTTGTCGTAAGTTATGCCATGCTGTTAGAGCTATAAACTTTGAAAATAGACAATGGTTTGATGTATGATTTGAGGAAATTGAGGGGTTTAAGAAAATTAAAGAAATAAAAAGAAGTGAGATATGGACTAACTTTTTTGTTTTGGTTTTATTTTTGGATCGTTCCCTTTCATTTTTGTTTTGTGCTGTTTTATTATCATTATTACTCTTGTTGTTGGCTTGTTTATTTAATAATTTTCTCATGAAAGTATTATTATTAATTATTTTATTATTTTTTTTTGTAAAAGACAATGATAAAAGTTAGCCCTTTTGTGTAATGGTATGACTATCAAACTAAAAGGAGTATATAGTTAACTTCCCAAATAGTTTTTGGGTTGCATCTGAAATTCTCCCGTACTATATAAATGAGAGCAATTTATTGCATTTGATTTCTCAAATGTTTGTTGCTTACAAGATTATGAGCAGCCAGTGGGATTAATGGCTTGCTTGCTGTTTAGTTTTTTCTATTTCTGGGAGGATATGCTGATTTACCTATTCTTTGGTACTCTTCTTTTTCACCTTGAATTTATCTCTCCCGAAATCAACTGAATATTTCTTGATTTGCAGGCGGCCAGCTCCACTTGCACCATACAAGTTGAAGTGCGAGAAGGAGGCTTTAAATAATCGGTATTGGTTTGCAATATTTTCTTTTTACCACCTTCTTGTTTCATTTCATGCCAATAATTTGTAAGTTCGTTTTCTAAATATTTGTGTGATCTGATTTACATCATTGGTTGAATTGAATTTAATTGTTTTCTTTTTCAGTTTTAAAATTTTATAGAACATTTTGAGTGCTCGATTGATTGCATCTATATGGATTTGCTATTCTTTTCCTGGGTAGTATTTTTTTTCTCACACAATGCTTTGTTCTCTGTCAATCTTAGGCTAGGGCCTCCTGACTATTACCCTCAAACTCCTAGCTGTCCCGAGGAGAACC